AAGTTCTCTGTCAGTGTTACTGAAGAAGTTTGTCTAAGCCTACACCAGCAACAGATGGTGTCAACTAAGGAAGAAAATTCTGCTGAAATTCATGATTCCACAAACCTGCTCTCGCCAGTGTGGTGTGTTTTATTTTATCTTGTCTCTGATTGCCGTAACATTTACATAAAACTGAGGAGGAAACACAAGCATGTGCCTGATCATTATGGCTAGTCTGGCAAAACAAAGCTAAGTAAAATAAATCTCCCACTGCCACTTGCTCATTTTATGGGATGGCTGGATGCCTGGGAGATGCTCCTCTGAAGGTCTGTGTTCTGTTCTGTCCTTGAACCAAATGATAGTCCTAAAAGCCGAACTTACTTTGGATAGAAGGCACTGGTTCCCCTGATTCACTTACATGAGCTTTGAGTTAGCCTGTCCTGCTTTTTTTTCTATGACTTTAATAATAGAAGTGAATTTTTTTGCCTCTTTTTTTTTTTTCTGAGGGGAGAGGCAAGTGGGAAAGACTAATAAATTGAATACATTACAGATCTCATATTAGTGTCATTTAAGCAGGTCTTCTCATACTTTAGCCTAGTTCTATGCAGCTTTATGTATTTTAAAGACATTTTTTATTTCTGTGGGCTGCCAGATGTACTGCTGATACCTTCTGATCTGAGGTAGTTTGACACTGATTTTCCTAGCACACGCCAGGGTTCAAATCTGGTCTGTAACCCATCCAAATGATCTATTCATAACAAAAAGTGCCTTCTGGCACTTGCACCACAGCTGAATATTGTTAAACTGAATTCATCATTTCATTTGTTTCTGATTGCTCTATAATGTTTACATATCTTACATATTAGTATGATCTTTTATAAAGCACATGCCGAGGTTAAACCCTCCCAGACAGAACTTTATTTCCCTTCTTCTCCCTTTCAGAAGGTGTTCAACTCTTTTTCCCTTCAAATGAGCAGGAATCTTGGAAATGCTTAGTGCTCATTTCATCTGAAATGATGGGGCTGAACAAGTAGGAATGTGCGTGTTGGAGAGACATGGAAAGGTGACATTTTCTTGCACAAAAGGGATTCTTTCCCATCGACAGACAGAGTAACTGTGAGGTGGAATAGCATGGCTGAGTATAATCCTTGGGTAAGTTGGCATCATCACACGTAGGGGCAACAGTCTCGGTGTGAACATGTTCAACTGAAATATTTATAGATGCAGCTTATGACTCAAAGTGTGAATAAGTTCAGCTTCTCATCTCCAGTCTTCTAATTCCTGCTTCATTGTTGGGCAGAGATCATTCTCAGGTCTAGCAGAGGAAATCCTCCCTGTGTTCAGTTTCGCTCTATGTAAAAGATAATAAACATTAACATGGCTTGCAATAGGAGTGTGTCACAGAAGGAATTTCAGTTAAATGGAAGGCAGAAAATCTGAGGCTCCTTTTGAATTTGTATGTTAACTTCCATAGGAGGATGACATCTCTTATTTGCTTTTAAAATAAAAATCAATTCCCCATAAATCTAAAACACATGTTGTTTTTCTTAAGCTCATTAAAGGGGAAAAAAATGGCATTGATCCTCCTATATCATCATGAGAATGTCTGAAGGCAATTGAAAGCTATAAAAGAGACATGGTATTAGTGTAACAAAAATAACCCCGAATCTGGCAAATTGTGCTTTTCTTCTGGGTTCTGTGGCAAACTTTGTACTTTTACTCCAACCTTACACTTATGTCTAGTCATGTGTTTTGGTGGGATTGGGTGGGATGTATACTCAAACAGAATATGGACCTTTTATTATGAAAATACAAATGCCAGCTGCTGCATGGCTTGAAAGACCATCCAAATATTTCAAGAAAGGGAAATGGAAACAATTTGTTATTTTTTATGCATAGAGCTATGGAAGGATGTTACTTCTTAAAGACTGTGTGTCTGTTTTGGGGAGAATGTTATTCCCAATTTTTGCTTTCCACGTGCATCAAAACCCAGACTCTGAAAAATGTGAATTAACTGAGAGGAGGAGATAGGAGATCTGATGGTGCCCTATCATCAAATAATGCATGATAGCCAAGGTTCTTTTATTCCAGTTAAAAGTTCCCACAGCAACAAAACTGATAACCAAGTACCCCACTGCCTCTATCCATCAGCGTGGCAATTCCCAGTTCCCTTGTTTGCTCTGTTCATGTGTTGAAAGTTTGCTGGAATGTGAACAGACGGTACTTAGTAGTAAGCTGATAGGAAGGTCTCACTGTAATTTGAGAGGAGCCAGCATGGAAATATCCTGTCCTGGCATATTCCTGTGGGTGCCCAAAGTACTAGAGCAGAAGTACTAGCTGCAGAGAGAATTTGGTCTTTTAATGAATCTAAACCTTTTGGTGTTATCAGATGTAGATGACAACTTTGTAAATTGAGGACCGATGATAGAAAAAAGGTGTGGTTTCTGTTTTTATTTTATAAAATATATTGTCCTTCTTGATGTTTAGACTTTCTCCTGACTTCACAAAGCATCTTTATGCTTTCAGTGCCCTTTGGCTATTTGTTTTTTCAGGCTACACAGCAGTTGGATTTTAAGCTTGATCCATTTGGTGTAACTAGATTTTTCCTTCAGTGAGCTACAGAACACTGCAAAGTTTGCTGCATCAAAAAATTTCTGAGATAAGACTTCAAAATCCCAGGCCCCTTTTACCCTAAATGTTTCTTGTCACCTGTAGAGACACATGCTGTGTCCACAGCTATAGGATGGGGAGGAGACAGGATGTTCGGGTTCTCCCCACGCTTCCATCACCAGTTTGGAGCAGATGCTGACATGGTGTGTTCTCAGTAAGGTCAGTGATGTGGAATAGGTCTAAAAATCAGCTTAGTTTAGGATTTGCTTTTTCTTGCACTTCATTTTCATATTGAAATTGTAAAAGAAGCCTTGTCCCGTTGAGGTGATGAAAACTCAAAGCTGTATTAATTTGTAGTTTTAAGAGAAAACAAAACAAAACCAAATGTCTCCACAGTGTTTTTGACGTAGCTTCGTCCACTTCGAGTCATAAATGCCTTTGTAAATTCAGTGCAGCTATTCTTGCTCTTTAATGGGTTTAGTCAGCCAGAATCTTGCACAGACACACAGACACATGTGTGCACGTACATCTTTAGGGAAAGTAAGTCAGGGCTTTAGAGCTGATAAGGGAGAACTGAGCAAGATTCCTGTATTTGTTAGGTGCTTTCCTGAGAGAAATCATGATTTCTCGACATGGTGCTGATTTATTTTGAGAAACAAATTTTGGGGTTTTTTGTTTTCCTACTTAACTTCATGACAAGAATCAGCTGTACTGTGAGTTTATGGCTGGAGCAGACTATTGTTTGTGCAGAAACCTCCCTGCTGCTGTATTTACTAAACATGTGTGATGCACAAATGCCAGTAAACTGCATCTTGGAGCGTATTCCCTAGTTGCTTGTAAAAACTGTCTTTAAAGTTTGGCCTGTTTAAATATACGGAGAATGTGCATCATGTTTAACAGGAACAGGCCTCAAAACTGTTTTGACATGAAGTCCAGGCCTTATTGAATCAATAGCAAACCTTAAGCATCCTTCAATGGGTCTAGAATTTTGCTAATGAAGAACAAGGTCTAAATACAAAAAACCCCATTGTTCCATTGACTGAGACCACTCTTTTTTTGCTCTTTGAAGCAAAAAAAACATTGAAAACATACAGACTTGTTTGGTTACAGAATTAATTCTCTTGTTTCCTTCTCTGGGAGCAAAGCACCTTTTAGGAAACAACAGTTGCAGATTTAGCCATCCCATTAACATGGAATGATGGGAAGTGCATCATGCATCTGGTGTAGGACTGCACTGCTGTTCTCTTGAGTGTGTAAATGTGGTCCTGGAAGAGAAAACATGAAATCTGCTTCCAAGAGAAGAGGGTAGCCTGGCAGGGGATGGTGACCTGTCTCCTCCAGCCCCTGCTGCAAGAATTCATTGTTCAACCAGTCAGGAATACACAACTAGTCTTTGGAGTAAGTACTACGACCTCCTTAGGCCTTCTGCTGACCCAGAATGAAAGCCTAGAAAGTCTGTCAGGTCTACTGAAAGTGGAACAGCTTCATAGGAGGAAGGAAAATGCCCTCCTCCCTTATAAACTGGTAATTTGCATTTTCTGAAGCAGAGAAAGGAAATGAACCAGTGTTTCCCACATCCTGAGTGGTCTAACCACTAAAATACTGTGTGGGGCAGCTGTCACTGTACACAGAGGGGTGTATTGGTGTGAATAGGGGGCTGTTGTTTCTGTAGGATAGTGCTCAGATAGCTGCCTTGATCTGCCTTCACAGGTGTGAAGGAAGGAGTGGTTTGTGTAAAGCTGAGCCTAAGTAAGGGGCAGAGTCTGATGTTTACCCAGGCACATGTTTCCTGTTGGCCATACCAAGCACTTCCCCCTTTGCCCAGCCCAGAGATGCAGCTTCCACACAAGGCACCCAACAATCCTGGCAGCTATGTGGGAACACTGGAGCCTGGGGTTCCCTTGCCAGCTTTGGGAGTTGGTGGCAGATCTTGGGGGACATCACTGTCCTCTGTCAGCAGGATTCCCTCCCGATTCCTAACTCTGCAAACACCCATCACCAAGTACATTGGCTGTATTTGCTGAGGACAGTCAACAGAGTGTTGTATCCAACTGTTCATTCTAAATAAGGCATTTTTATAGAGAAATGAGGCAATTTCCCTCTTCCTGTAAAATACAGCTCCCATTCCTGAAACTTCCTCCTTTCTGCTCAGCCAGGCCCAGCTGTTTAGGAGCACTTGTGTGATAAGTAGCTGCAACTGTGTCATGTGAGCTAAAAATGATGCAATTGGAAGATCTCCACATTATCCTTGGAGTAAATCTATACCTGTGGATCTCCACTCCTGTTGCTAACTCCTGTGGAAGAGCAGGAATTGTTTCAGTCTTGGACTCCAATAGCTGCCAAGCATTAGTTGTGAAGTCCCTACTTTGACAGGTTGTTTGATTCACCAGAGCTTTCTTTTGCTTTTACAGGTCAGTGAAAAACCCATTTTTGTTCCTGGTGTTTGGGGACCATATTTCTCTGCAATGGTACCTGGATTGTGGTTGAATGAGGGAGGTCAAAGTGCTACAGGAAAGCTGGTAAGTGTTTGGAGACACAGGCAATCTCCAAGATGGGAGGTCTGGCATAATTGTTTGGAATAACTTCATGTCAGTTCAGGCAGAGCTCTGCCTGAAGCACCTCTGTAAGATCATGGGAGATACAGGCTGCTGAAAGCAATGAACAATTAGTTGATTGTTATGTCTCTTACAAACTGTTCATTTGCATATGGATAAGGGATTATATACAGGGCATGTCTTCCTTTTATGGTGGTGATGATTACTGTTATTATCTTACAGGCAAATAGGCTTCATTCTTTACTTCAGTAGGAGGCTGAGATAAAGAAAATTGCACATATTATGTTACATAGATCAGTTGTGCTCATTGATGGGCATAAGTGAAAGATGTATTTTATGGACAGATAGTAATATAGTGGCATGTTATCCTGTCACCTCAGTTCTTTGCTCGAATACAAAGAGACTAACAGTATTAGGTTAATTTAATTTACCAGGCTGGATTACCTAAAAAGTGAATTTTTTTACAGGAAGTCAGAACTAAAACATTGATGTCAAATTTAAAGAAGGCTAGATGTACACAACAGTATTTAGGCTTGAGTCCAAAGGTGCCACCAAGATCTTCGTGACTGCTCAACCATGAAGCTTCCAGAGCTCCCTGTGTGTCTCCTTGGCCAGTCTGACTGCTCTTAGGACTGAGCTGCAAAGGCCTTGTGAGAAGCTGCAGGAGGCAGGCGAGGCCTGGGGGTGTCCCCTGTAAACCCACCATGTGCAGGTGGAGTTTGGTCTGTCACCCATTGCAGGTGGAGTTGCTCTGACTCAGATCCAGCACCACCCACCTTTTTAAAAGCCTAGAGATGGGAGAACATGTCCAGGAAATAGACTGGGGAATCCCTGCACTTACACATTCCACATGGAACAGTCACTGAATGAGAAGCACAAATCATCCCAGACACACCCCAAGCACTGAGCTGTCAATGGTGTTCCCTCCTGTGCTCTCCCCTTGGCCACCTTAACCTGACGTTCCTCTCTGTGTCACGGCTTCAGTGGGAGAGTCACCCCTCTTTCTCTCCTGCAGCCTTGCTTCCCATCCCACCACCAGCCCATCTTTAGCCTTCTGGCTAAAAAATGCTCTTGCAGCACGTGGGATGTGTATTTTAATTCTTTTAATTGTGTGCTTTAAATTTTTCAGGTCATGATAGGGCTAGGACCAAAAAGTGTCCTATTTTATAGGTAACTGCTACAACCAGAAATAAAACTAAATTATATATATGTAAAATACATTTAATATCTAAAATAATATATGCTCAAAACACCCCCATTTTAAAAGGAAAGTGGCAAATCTTGTGTGTTTCTTTGCAAGAACACGTTTGAGAGGGAAGTCTTTATCTGTTTAATCCAAAGCAGGTAAATACTCTTATCTAAGCTCTAGAGAGGATACAGCAAGTCAGTGGTTTTTCTCAGCTGGCTCAGGATAGTTCCACACTTTAAATGTACTATGACAGTTAGGGCATTTCAAAAAGATGATTTAAAAAATCCTTTCTGTTCTAGTACCAGAGAACAAGATGTTCCTGAATCATTAAAGAAATTGCTGGAAAAAGTGTATAGTCTTGTTAGGACCCATAGCAAAAGCCATGGGAGGTAACAGTGCATGTGCTCTGTGTGGAGGGTACAGGGCATTCATTATCTCTGTAATTTTCAAACTGAAGGTTTTTAAGATCCTGGTTTCTCACACCTTCTGAAAACAAACAAACAAAAAGGGTATGTTTCGGGTTCTTTTCATTGCTTGATCAATGCCCCAATGTTAATTACTTTCATAAAATGTGAACAGTCTGTTCAACTTCTTAAAAGTAGAGCTGATACACTTCCCTTTAAAAAGCTCTAATTAATTTTTTTTTATACAACTGCTAAAGAAATCTATTGGGTTTTGAAAACTGTGGAGTTCAAATGAAGGATTAAGTCCTCTTGTTCTGAAAAAGCTTGATTTTTTTGTATGTTAGATGGGTTTTTGCACTGGATTTTCAAAATTTATAAGAAGAAAGATATAGCACAACAGAGACAAAGGATGACATGACATAATTAGAAACTGTGAAATAAAAAATAGCAGAAAATGGTTTCTATGTGTATCCCTCATGTGGCCATGTCTTGAATTAAGGGCATTTAAATATCTAACTTCATAACTCCTGCAACAGTTTTCTGTAAAAGTGTTTTCTTGTGATGTTTATTTATAAATTTATTTCTGAATTTATGAGCTGCCCCTGTGTTCTGAGGGGATTATGAAAGATTGCAGAATTCAGGCCTGAGCTTTGTTTCTAATGCAGACACACGTTTGAGTTCTGTCTGATGCCAGTCTCAGGAAGAACAGGCATTATTTTCATTGCTATGTTCAGATGCGTTTGCTTCATTATATGTTTACATATAATGTTCTCATATAATGTTTTCATATAATGTTTCATATAATGTTTCATATAATGTTTTCTCGTTCAGGACTAGACTCATGCTGTTAAAAATTAAATACTGATGTGATTTTCTGCCCATAGGTATTGCCAAAAATACTCAGTGCTCTTGAGTAGCTCTAGTTTTGCCTCCTTAGCTTTTACTGTCACCTCTGATGGGATATTACCAAGAGGCCACAAAACCTGCTGAATTATTGTCTTAAAAGCCCATATTATTCTACCTGATACTTTGTTTTGTGAGTAATGGTAACCACTCTGGACTGAAAGGACAAGTTGATTTATAAATTCAGTATAAGACAGAGCGTATATTGATCTTCCTTTATAGCAGTAATTGCTTCTCAGGGTATACATCTTGTTTCCTGCAATGAACGTATGAAGCATCTATCAGGATGACAACACACCTTGTGTTTTATTTCAACGGAGTGATACAGAAAAATGTAGGAATTTGGGCCAAGGAGATGTTCCTGGTAGAATTCCAATGAGGATAAGCATGCAAGAGAATGGGAGAGACCAGAGGACATGCTCTCAGGTGCTGTTGGAGACCGGAAATATGTCATCCTGTTACCTTGCTCTCCTGACTGAGGAGCTGCATACTTAGCATTTTGCCAGTTTTTGGTGCAAGGTTGGGTGTTTTTCCTTACTGTTCATAAACCAAATCCTGAATGTCAGTGGGAGTTCTGCCAGTGGCTTCACTAGGACTTAACACTTCATGAGTAATTTGGAAGCTCTCTTGTCTTTTAAAGTTATAACACTGCCTTACCCTTTTCCAGGACTGAAGTTGTAAGATGTAATCATCCTAAAAATGTTGCTTTTCTCTTTTTCAGATCGATCATGTGGTCCGAGGCCATGTCGCCTTCCCAGAATTACAGTCAAAAGCTGCAGCCAGGTCACTGTCCTTATTCCTTTATCACACACCTGCCTTGCAAACTGATGACACAATGTATTCTCAGCAGTGTCCTTACTCTGAAACAGGGCAATTAACAGTCTGATAGAGGGTTAGAAGTATTTACAAAGGCTTGCCAGGTGATTGCTCAAAGATGAAAGCTTTTAACTCCCCTCAGATACCTTTGGTATATCTAAGTGGTGATATTAACTTACTGCTTTTCAGCTTTTCTGTCCAAGGGTATTTCTTGATTCTGTAGCATCATCCCTGTTCAGCAGACCTGCCTCTATGCTTTGGGCTAACAATGTGTCTTCATTTGTAGGTGACACAACTAAGCTCCAAGGATGAGATATAGCTTAATTAGGATATGTTATTCAGTATTTTTGAAACAATCATCTAAAGCAAGGTATAGCCACCGTATGGAAAACCCCTGCATGGCAGCACAAATAGAGCAGGGAAACCCTGGATGAATTTTCAGACAAAACTCAAGATGGAGGAGTGACTTGGAGGTAACTCCAGGATTCCTTGAGCAGCAGACTGTGTGCAGTGTGGAATTTTAGTGTGGTCTGCTTTAGAAGTGGATGAAGATGGTCCAGACTGGTCTGGACTTTGTCAAGCGATTTTGGCTTGGATTCCTTTTAAGATGATTCCCGTCACTTCCAGAGAGGTCTTAGATGAACAGTTTGGGCACATTGGATGACAATTTTATTCTCTTTTAATGTCTTTTTCATCCTTAGATTAAAGAAAAAACCAGCAAAATTGGCATTTTCTCTTCAGTTTATCCCTCTGGTCTAAAAGACAAGGATCAGTCCTGATACATATATTAAACATGCACAGTCACATAGTTATTTTCAGTCGTCCTGGGGGGATAAAGCTACCTGGTTTTTCTAGATGAGCCTTCCATCCCTTGCAGGGCCCACTGTCTTACTTGTTTTTTAAGAACTTGTCCAGGATTCCCAGAAATGTATTGGACTTCATTCAATATGAAACAGATTCACACTTCCTAGAATTCTCTTTGTTGTTCTGTGAAAAAGGAAATCAGGAAATAAATGCATCTGTGTATGTTTGGAATAAAGATTGATCTGGGGCTTTTTCAGAATTTTGGCTTCCAGGCCATTTTTCCAGTGCCCCCATATGAAGCTCAAGCATAGGACAAACAATTTAGTCTGTAATGCCAGGATAAACCAATTCTTGTTGTTGCAAAGATGTCTATAGAGTAGCCTCCTTGTCTCTGCTAGGTCTGATACTGAACTGACTGACCACAATAATGCTATAGTGCAAAAACTTGGAGTGTGGTGTGAGCAAGACACTAAATATGGAATATTGGGAATAGAACTCCATGTTATCCAAGGGTATGATGTCATAACTTTGGATTTGAGTCTTGTGCAGTTAGTAAAACTCTGGAGAACAGTATTGATAATAAGAGCTGTAATATTTTATTAAAAGAGTAATAATATTTTATTAAGTTAATTTACTCAATGGTATTCTTGTAATGCTTTCCAGATATTACTCTACTAATGAAATGTTTACATAGCTATAAATTTAGTAAACAATTCACTTACTAATTCCCTCATCCACTTTCTCCCCTTCCTTCTGAAATATCTGTTAAACTTAAAAAGGAACACCTTCCACCATCCCAAGTTGCTCCAAGTCCTGTCCAACCTGGCCTTAAACATTCCCAGGGATGGGGCAGCCACAGCTTCTCTGGGCAACCTGTGCCAGGGCCTCACCACCCTCACAGGGAAGAATTTCCTCCCAGTATCCCATCTAAACCTGCTCTCTGTGAGTGTGAAGCCATTGCCCCTTGCCCTGTCACTCCAGGCCCTTGTGAATAGTCTCTCTCTGTCTTTCTGGCAGGCTCCCTTCGAACATAGTGTCTTGTTTTGGAGGATTATTGGTGATGATGATAAATTATCTGCCTGGAAATTTCAGCAGAATAGTTCAGACAATCTGCTTTATTATGTTTAGGATGTTCTCTGTGTGGGTGTAGGAATTTGCATCTGTTCAGTCAGTTGCAAACGGCCACAGAAGGAAAACAAAATGAGAATTCCATGTTTGGGTGTGCAATTCCATATTACCTTTACTTGCCATGGTAGATGCAGTGCTGAGAAGAGTTAAGCACATGCATGTCTGGATCATTAAAACAAGAACATCTGAGGTCACAAATCCCTGCCTGTTGGTTTCTGCTGCCTCTCACCTACTCCTGCATCCCTAAACCTGTCCTCCCTTTCTCCTCATGCTGCCTGTAAGCAGGTTTGGAATGGCAAGTGCCTGCTTAGCAGCTATCCCAAAGGCTTCTTTGTGCAGACTCCTCCTATTCCTTTGCCCACACCAGAGCAGTTTTCCAGCTGCATTTATCACCAGTTTAGTAATTTTGGTAACTTGTAAGGGCGTGAGAGCTCAGACAACCAGCTCCTGCTGACCACTGCTGCTGAGGACCAGGCTTGTGCAACCCTCCCAGTGCTATTCCTATGTCCTTTATTCCCTGGACAGGGTTGAATTACATGAGGATTTTCTGGACAGCTGTAAATTTAGCATTTGGTCAAATGGTTGGCACTCTGCAAACAACAAAACTTGATTTTTTTCCAGGCAATTCTTCGAGTTGCAGAAATTGCTGTGATGCATCACTTTTGCTCTTCAACCTGCATATTGTGCAGGTCTGACATTTAACCATCACTGGTGTGTTAAATCCTGTACAAGTAGGCTAGAGTGGGAAATCAAAACAAATAATATGATCATTTATGGTCATATATTCTGTTGCCTAGAATGACCGTTTCTAATCTTTTGGAGGAGAAAAATACCTGACAGTAAAGTTGATGTGCCTTCTGGCCCTTTGTGAACTGCTGTGTTTTCAGACAGAATTCCCTTTCCTATTCATCTCAATGCCACTTCCTGTCTAAAGAGATGTCTCTTCAAAATAAAACTTTGAAGTTACACATACAGGACCCATCAACAATTCTGGGATCTTTCAAGTAGAACGTAATAACCATATTTGGCAGTTTTCTGTACCTCTATATGGTTTGAGTCCTTTTTTTTTGATTTAGAAATCTGAAATTTTAATTTTTTTTCCCCTGAAAGATACCTGTTGACATCTTCTAGTATTCTTGAACAGATTAAATACCAACCTCTTGATTGATGCTTTCTGAAGTTATGTCCCAAGTATGAACATAAACCTGGGCAAACTTGCATTGATTTCTTATTCTCTACTTTCAACACAGTTCTTTTTTCATAGCAATAGCTCATGCTCAGCTCTGCAGGTCAGATGCAGCTGCCAGTGATACCTTGTCATAGAAATGAATAGAGAAAGCTCTGTGAGTTGATGCTATAATATTATGTATAACCCAAAGGTGGCAGAAACAGGAACTGGCAAGTGTTTGAAGGATTTTGCCAGTCCAAGTGTAGTCTCTTGAACCCTTATCTATATATAGAAAAAAAATAAATTTAAAAAGGTGTGGGGAAAAATGTAATTCCAAGTTTATGTGGGTTTTAGGCATATTTGGCTCAATTTCAGCCTCTTTTTGTTCAGTCCTTGTGTTCTGACAGAGCTGCACAAATGACTAATTCCTGTGAGAGCAGTCAAGCACGATGGAGATGAGATAGAAGCTGGGATATCTGGTGGGTCTTCTTGAGTGAAGCTTTCCTTTTTTTCCCCCCTTCCCAACAGTCAAGCCCTGATTTAGACTGGAAATAAAATTACTTTATCCTTAGCATGTACTGCTTATAGTGCAGTCTTTAGGGATGAAGAAAACAGGGCCACTTTCACAACAAGGGGAAAAAAATGATTTTGACCTCAAAATTATCATAATTTAGGTCCAGGAAGACACATAAAGTACATTTTAAAGGACGTGAATAATGATGTAAATTAGTTATTTTAATGTCTTCCAAGTGTAGTTCATTTTGAATGATATCCTCTGATAGCATACACATGGTAAGGTATAATTGAAAAAACATGCAGCTGAATGGTTGAATGCAAAGTATAAATATACAGCTGCTAGTGGGTCAGAAGTCAAACTAGTAAAGCATATGCCAAATTCCCTCAGGGATCTCATTAGTGCATGATTGAATATACATGTAGAGGCTAAATGAATATCACTGTTTGGGTCTGCAGTGGATGAGACAATGACTAATCAATTGTAATTAGGGTTAGATGCTGTTATTGACCCACATGTCTAGAATTAAATGCCCCACTTGGAGATTTCCAAGGAGTTGAAAAATATATATGGATTTGTTTGTGATAGGGTGAGTGTTTGAAAAAAATATTCCAAACATAATTGCAACATTTTTTAAATGGAATGTCACCAGAGTCACTGCAAGCCAGGGCACTGAAGAATTCACCATTAATCCTAGGTCCAGGAAAAAGTCTGTTGGATATTGTGGAGTTGGGTGTAGCATCTGAACTTAGATACAATCATATTTAGGCCCATGGTGGGCTCCTCCCTAAAATAGCAGCCACTCACTTTCTCTCCTCCACCCTTAGTGCTGCATTTTAATCATAACACACACTGAAATAATTATGGTTTAAAAAAGGAAAGCTCTACATGCTATTGATTAATCAGAGAAATTTTTAAACATTTGCAAAGGAATTTGATTTTCACTTCTGTCTGGAATCCTCCTCACTCCTCCCTCTCCTCTTGCTTTTCTCCAGCTTTCCTTGCACAGTTTCAGCACACAGCTCTGTGGGAGACAAGCATCAGCAGCCCCAAATATCAAACAGCTCTGGCTCCTCCAGGGTCCTGGAGGAGTCAATGTACAAACTCAAGGTCATATTATCTCCCCTCATCCCGTGAAATTAAGGAATTCAGGTGGCCTGTTGAGCACACGTGCAGATAGACATCCCCTCAGTGCCGTGGGCTTGGCAAGCAGGGAGATTTTGCTGTTCTTTGGTGGGTTTTGTGCATTTGATGGTAGTACAAATGTTTTGTGTTTGATGAATAACCTCCCCTCTCTGTTTCCAACTTGTTTTTCTCCTAGTACTCACAGCATATATACATACTTGAACAGTCACCTGGATCTGATTAAGAAATCTTTGCCTGTGGGTTTCCTCACTGTTGATTTACATGTTTGGCCAGATTTCCATGGTAACAGATCTCCCTTAACAGATCTGACACTAAAGGGCATGGTAAGAAACAGCCTGTCTTTGCAAAAAGGTCAATACAGGGAAAAAAAAAAAAATGAGCTTTTCTTCAGTTTTGAGTGTACTCCTCCTTAGCTGTTTACACTATCACATAGGATTTGGGTTTCTTGCTGCATTTCGAAGTGTACTGATGTTTCAGTAGAAAACCAGAGATCACTGTAGTTGAGATATCACTACAGCCACATTTATTTTCTAAAAATATGAGGAGTGCTGTGTGTGTCCCAGGATCTTCCCTAGGAATCACATTTCACAGCACTTGCTGTTGTTAACTCACTTGTCTACCAAATTTTGAATATTTCTTGCAATGAATTTCAACACAGATTTGTGTAAACTGATCTGGAAAAGGCATGAAGTATTCTGATGATAGATTGCTTGATTTAAACAGCTTTTCAGCCCATCTTTAAGTGTTTTGATGTGTCTTTTTACTGAGCTTATGGTGGTAGATCAGATGGGTCACAAGGCTGTGCAGAACTATAACAGAAGAATGTCATAAGGGTATAATTTGGTGATGTCAAAATACCTCGTGATTAATGCAAAAACGTCTTTCAAAATGACATATTGTCCTTGAAATGAGCATCTCAAGCTACTCACCAGCACTATAATCTGCAGTATTTGAGGTTGAGGTAGGAAAGGGTATAAGCACTGCAGCATTTAAATCACAAATGAGGGAAACATTAAAAGAATAAAAAAGGGCTATATATTTTTGGGTCCTAATAATATCTGCTTTATTTTATGAGAGAATTATATGCTGCAGCAGAATCAGAATTTCCTTGGTATGATGCCCCTATGCAAATGCTGTTGATAGCAGCCTGTTTTTTCTGTCATAATTATGGCTGCATTTGGGTCTTGCCTATGCTGATATTAATCCAGAGTAACTACAGTGCAGTATTGATTTATGTCAGAGTAAAGGAGGCTAAGATATAGTATTTAATTATTAATTGTGTTTCAGTGTTAGGGTGCTTGGATGGGAGGGGGAGAAATGCTTTTAAAAAGTTATTTTTATGTAATAGCATTTTCATATTATTACATTAAATACATTCACGAGCAATATCTGAATCATAACATAAAACTGTCAGAGTTAATCTATCTCTAATCCCATACAATATGCTGTTTGTTCTTTATTTCTTTGCAAGGGCAAGAATAATTTATGTGGTTCTTCCCCAGATCAGGAATAACATGTTTAACATAGCATTATGTGTACAGCTCACAGAAGTAAGGCTTAGAATTAGTGTTTAAAACTTGTTACAACAAGAAGCCATAGAAAATAATAGAGTTTTATGTTGGCTGGATTTGTACATTTTCTTTTTGATCTTTGCACAGGTTGTTGGACTGACATTGTCCCGGGGTCTGGATGAACTTGCCCTTATCTACCTGGCCACGATCCAAGCCATTGCTGTAAGGCATTTTAAGTGCATAAAAGAAGAAATGAGTTGTCTTATGTGCTGTGAAGAGTGATCATTACCTTCTGCTAACCAGATTTCTAATAATACATGAATTCACTTAATGGACTTCTTAAAGGACCAAGATGTTGTTTATCCGTGTTGGTGACTATTCCCAACTGTGGGAGAATAGACAGACAGAAAATGTTCCCCTAAAACGTCTTTTCCTTGAGGCAATTCTGTAAATGGAGCTTTTTCCTCCGGTGCAGATGTGAGGAAGGAGCTGATAGTCCATGGAGCAGTGTTACACCATGGGCTGCCTAGAGGGAAGCTGAGAGGGGGGGAAAAAAGCTTTGGCAATTGCACAAAGGACCCTGAGCTCCCCTGAAAGCCTTAGCTTCAGATTGTTCCTAAATCCATGGATTTCCCCTGCTTGTCTAGTGGATGGGGCAGAGCTCTGTGCCACAGTGAGCAGGAGGGTCTGAGATTGAGTTCACAGCTCCCAGACCCAAGAGAGCAGATCTTCCCCCTCTTGTCCCTGCTCCAAGGAGAGCAGCTGGTTCCCATGGCACTCCCAGCTGGGTGGATGTATGGAGCAGGCAGGGAGGCTCTGAAATGTCCCTGGTGTTTGCCAACACTCAAATGGGGAATTTTATTGGAATATTTTTCTTTCTGCCCTGATTTTCTATCGAACCCAGGATTTCCAGTTCACAAGAAGTTCTGTTCTGAAGCGAAAACCTGGGTCACAGAAGTTGTTTGGAAAACCTGGCACAGGGTATTTTCCATGGGGCCTTTTGGTGACCAAAATCCACATTCCTTTGACATCCTTTCTGTGATTTTTTTTATTTTTTTAAAGTTTGCTGAACTTGAGGCATTTTTTGCAAAACATTAACAGTTTGATGAATTGGGGAGTTTTCCTGACAAAACTCTATTCGGTTGGAAAACTTCCAAACTCCTCTCCTGGTTAAACAACAACTTTGCTAGGCTGGGTCAGCCATCTGGGATGGAGAGGGTGGGTGGCTGCTGTGAATTTACTGAGAATTGTCCATTTTATGTGTTAACCCTCCCTAGTCAGCAAATAAGGGGAACTTAACCCCAGACTGGAATTCATTGTTGTGAGTTTTGAGCCTTTTTAAGATGAAAGTAGCTTGGTTATACCTGATGCTTCAGCATAATCCCACCATTGAAATAAGAATGCCTAGGAGAGGTTGAACAATGCCAGGGACTGATACTGCCCCTGAAAGGAACTTCCCAGTCTGGAACAGGTGCTCCCTGATTATATGCTGCTAACGAAGTGGAAACCTTCTCTGCTGGAAATCCTGGGAAAGTCACCTATTATCTCATTGTATGATACAGCTCAGATTTTATTGTAAAACACAAATACTGTGTTGAACACTAAATTCAGCAGCTGCATATCTTTTTGATACGTGATTGGGCTGATATAAAGTAAAAAGGCCATCCTGTAGTTTTCTTTTCACTGTAAGTTCAAGGAAATTAATTTTTCCTGAAGCGTTATTGAAACAGTAACTAAAAAGTAGACAGAGAATGTTGGTTTTGACTTGATATATTTACTAATTGCCAATGTGACACCTGGGAAATTTAATTTTCCTCCCATACTCCTTCACTCCCAATTTTAGCTTCACTTTTATTGAAGGAAACAGTTGTAGTAATCCTGCACCATTAGCTGCCTTCAATGGGTGCAAGATAAACTTTCAACCCAAGTAAAAATCTTGTACAAAGTGTAGGCCTGCCCACAGAATGTTAATCTGTAGTTTTCTTTTCAGCAGGAGAGGCTTTTTTCTTTTTATATAAAATTTGCATTTGAAGCCCCTCAATTTGCATTTTCTCCAATCCAGGATTAAATTAGTTCCCCCCCACCCACGGTGAAATAAGTCTGGCTTTAATTTAAATTGCTGTGTGAATACAATTTTCCAGGCAGGTAAACACAAAATAATTTTCACAGCATGTTCTTTCTCAGGGTCTTTGACGTGTGTATGTTGTGAGAGAAGTTGTTAATAAATTTGAATTTCAGAAGTAGTGAAAGAGAATCTCCTTTTAACCATTCACTGCAAGATGCAATGCAACAGTTGGACGGCTGAGAACACGATCAGGGATGTAATTGTGGCCCGTTCTGAGCAGACAGACTCCTTTTAGAGCAGTTTATTTTTCCATAATTAAAATTGTGGATTTGGAAATTAGCCCTCTGTGTCAATAGGGAAGCGATGGATTTAGTCAGCTGGGGTTGTGGCTGCTCATGTTCCTCTTAACTGCTTCCCTAAAAATCAAAATATATTTGAAGGCCTGTCCAGAATAGTGCTGGTTATTCATCGTGGATATCTCCCATCTCATGGAACTCTGCTTGTTCCATTTTCAGTGGCTTTTATTTGAAGATGAGTTTATTGCAGCTGCAGACATCGTAATGAACTTGCAGCATGACATAAAGAAAACTTAAACATTAGTTTATGAAAACTCTGACCAGGTTGTGTTTTGTGAGGAATCTACCTACAAAGAGTCAGCCTGGGCAGCACTTTGCCTTGAATTTGACAAGTCAAACTTAACTTCCAAGGTATTATAAAGAGCTGGGAGTTATTTTTGGTCAAATAGTTTGTCAAAGAAATGTGAAATACTCCTGAAAAGGGGAAATAGGGAGAAGGTTGTCTTCAGTGAGGAGCTGGAGGCAAGCAAAGCAAACAAAAAGAGAAAAGCTATATTTTTAAAATGGCAAAGCATTCACTTTGGTTGTTCTAATTTGAGTTTCTCAGAATTGAGACTGTAAATGAAAAGTTTAAAATATGCCTACATTTGAGATGTTTCAATTAATCCAGGCATGAAACGGAACATTTTATTTTGTGTAGGGCAAAGGCCAAGACAAATAGTTAAGCCAATGCAGAATTCTTCAGGTTTTCTTTTTTGCTGAAATGACAGAAAACATAGATTTTTTTTTTAATTTGCTGTTCTTTTTTTGTTCTGTTTTGCTATTTGGCTTCAGAATTGAAACCTCTTCACTGAGAGGGATTTTCAGATGCTGTTACACAAAGTAAATAGAAAGTTTCGGTGGGGATGTCTTTGCACATGAGTATAGTTCTGTTCCCGTGGCTGCTCTCCTGTGCTCATCTGGCTTGTTTTTCTCTCCCTTTCTGAAGTTAGGAACAAGACATATTTTGGAAACGATGCAGGCTGCAGGACATGATATCAACACACTGTTTCTGTGTGGTGGGCTGAGCAAGAACCCTCTCTTTGTGCAGATGCATGCTGACATTACTGGTAAGTTAGGGGAAGTACAGGGAAAGGAGTGTAAACTGCTTTTATTTTAAGTGTCTAAGTACCTTGTCTTTGGAAAAATAAAGACTTTCTTTATACAGAACTGTATTTTGCTGCTTGGCCAAAAAGCGTGTCATAAAATATTACTTTATGAGCTTCATCCTATTTGACTTGTGACACTTCCTGTTCTTGCTGGGCATTGTATCCATTATTGCTTCCATGTCTGTATCTCTCATATGGTTTAGGGGACAATGTCTGGACTCTTGCTCCTGCACAGTGTTGTCTTTGGTTTTGTAGAATTCCTGATGGGTAGAAGGAAGCTCCTGGATCTGTGTTTCACTGCAATCTCAGGCCTATGTGGTATTTTTGGTCCCCCTTCAGCCTGTGTGTGTTGGACATCTTAGCATACCTGCGAGTCAGTTGAATATACTTCAAAAAATGTGGAAAAAATAACAAAATTTAGTGTAAAGGACTTCAGAGAAACATTGAATGATGTGTGTTTTGGGTATATTTCAAATTAAGACCAGTTGAGCTGTCATGAATTAAGTTTAAGGCTCAATTTTGGGGCATTTTGTCTGGAGATCTGTCTTGCCCTGACATCAAATTACACTTCATAACCTTGGTGCAGGAAGGAAGATGAAAACGTGCTTTATCTGAGAGGAGAACAGAAATGGAGAAGCAAAAAGCAAAATGCCTATTGACCTAAAATTCACTAATTACATTGTAGTCAAAGTGAAAAAATGATATTGTCAAGCCTGTGCCTTATAGAACTCAGATGTTTTAGGTGAATTTCAGCTACGTGTGGAGTTGTGCTGCTGGTTTGTGATGTGTAAAAGAAAAGATCTGTGAAAAGGTATTCTGATTAAAATGTAATCACAAGTTCTTTGACTGTAACTAATGGCCAAGTACAATTCAGTACAAAAAGGCCTTTTTGCAGTCTGGAGTTCTCCCCCATTTGTAAAATCAGTGACTGACAAGGGATGTCAGAGTTCATCTCACTGAAATTCTCTTGGTTATGTTGAACTCATTAGAGCCTATCAGATAAAATAACTAACATTCCAGGATCAATCCCCCATTCTTTCCCGAAAAGAAAAAAATCTGAATATATTATTGTTAGCTGCAAATGCCCATGACTCAGCCATGCAGACATCCAATAGATAATTCCACAGGCCACTTAAAAAGTATCTTGATCTTTTTGTTTGCCCGGTAAGAATTCCTATTCATTCTGATGATGCGGGAAATGGGCAGTAAATTTTCGAGCACGCTGAAAATTGCTCACTGACGCCTGACAAACAGCCCTGGAGCTTTGAGCTTGAGCTTTAGATTTGCTGTTCCAGGTTGACCCAAGTCCTGAGCTGTGATCCAGCTGAACTAGAGGAATGCTCAGGTGACAGGGAAAAGTAACTGGAAATGTAACTGGATGCCTGTTGCAAGGAGAATTTACTTTGTGTCAGTAATTGCTGCTTATATTAATAATTTTATTCCTCACTTTGCAGAACATGTATTTGCCTTTTCCTCTCTAGCAGTTGTTCATGGCTAACTTTAGGTCTTCCTCCAAATTCCAGCTCCTTCTAATCTTCCAGCTGGCTCTCAGGAGCAGCATTTTTTGGGGAGTAATATTATGGAGACTATTCTCAGAAGGAATCCCTCCTTCCGCCCCTGTGTTTGCATCGTCATTCACTCAGTGACATTATCTCAGTAATGGAAATTTAGCCACATGCCAAATACTGTAGGAATATTAAATTTTTCGGCTTAGTGAGGATAAGCATCAGAAGTGCAACTAGAAAAGTATTTAGACTTAAAGTCTTGGTTTAGATTTTTCAGGAAAATTAATAAAACAGGCCGGTTTTTATTTATTAGTATTTTTCTTCCTGTTTTTACATTGGTGAAACATGTCTCAGACACTTTGTGTGAACCAAAGGGAAAGTATGTTCACGATAGTACCCCTGGGTGATGAAACAATATTTTTTAATTCTGCTTCATAATATATATTGTTTGTTTGTTTTTCCAGTGTTTTAATTTTGTTTTTGAGTATCTTGCACAATTTGGAAGGCAAGATTTCCCTTATTATTTCATACATAGCTTGAGAAAGTTTGCTACTCATATTTTCATGTCTTCCAGCAAAACCAGACTGGCTTTGTTGGCTATATATTTAAAACCAAACACAAACAGTCTTTTGTTTGTTTGTTGCAAAAGAAACAAAAAAGACACCGCCCTGTTTTCCCCTCCAGGTTAACTTTTAATGGGCACGTGGGTTTGGAGGGTGTGGGTAACAGGTTTATACCAAGCCTTCTGAGATAAATAGCCAGTGTCAAAGATCTGGGGGGGGGTTGGTTTTTGCACCCTTTATGTTCTGCATTAATATTTGCTGAAATCGTTGTATTTAAATCCTGCATTTTTCCTGGAGCCTGGAACCACAGAGCAGAGTGATTTACATTAACCTACAGCAGAAGGTAGCTCTGAATGGAGTAATGAATAATGGTTTTCAAGCCCTTTTTGATTTCTTTTTTTGCTTTAATTATTTATGGTGCTGCTGGTGCAGTCCTGCTGCGTTCTCTCTAACAGACCTGACTCTTTCCTGTGCAGGGAAGCCTGTTGTCCTGTCCAAAGAGGTGGAGTCTGTTTTGGTGGGTGCTGCTATTCTTGGAGCTTGTGCTTCTGGGGATTTTACATCTATACAGGTATGAAATACCTGATTTTACTTTTTTTTTTCTTCAGTTTTAATGTGTTTTACACCTTGACTTTTGGCACTACACACAGACTTCAACCCAAGTGGAAAAGATTGTACCTTCTACGTGGCTGGACAAGAGCCAGTATCGCCTTCTCTCCACCCCCCGTTTAACTCCACATTTAGGTGTATTGAGTGTTCATTTGTCTTTTCACTGTAGAGACATGCATGGAAACTGCTGTCTATGAAGTTGGGCCATGTAATTTTACAGACAAAACAGGGAATTTAGCAAGGCTCTGATCCTGCAGGAAGGTCATGCTTTCATCTCAGTTATATTTGTCTGACTTTCCTTCCTTCATATTGAGGAATGTTAAACATAAGAAGCAACATAGCACTATTAATGCAGTAAAAAATAACACACCTATAGCTCTTGTCTTGCCCACAGTGAATGCAGAGTTAATAATGAGGATGGAACTTCATGTTTATTCATGTTATTTCAATCCATTAGCAGTTGCAAAAGTAGCAGTAAAACTTTTATTTTCAGTGGATCAGGCAAAGCATGACTTAGCTGCATTTGTATAAACAGCAGTGGTTTACAGAAACCTGAGGAAGGGTCTGACTTCCCCAGATCATGCCTGTTTTCCCACCTGGCAATCCTACTAGTATGAGACATCTTCTCTCTTCGTGCTACATGAGGACATTAAACAACACACTGCATTCAGTTGGACAAAATTATTTATTGGGATGGTCCCTTGTGCATTTAATACATTTTTCTTTATATAACATCAGGCACAGATACTTGTAGATGAAATTTTGCACAAAAGCTTTTCTGGATATATTTTCTGAATAGGGAGTTCAGCTTCTTGACCTTGTTAAATTGATGCAGTTCCACTGGAATCAATAAACAGCTCAACATAAGCTGATGAGCTGGGCTGTGCTTGGCATTTCTCCAAATGGGAATATTCTACAGTGCTATATAGGTTAGCAGGAAGAGCAGTTTCCTTTCCTGAGAATTTTTCCATTAAAATGAATGCCATTGCAACAAATATATATATATATATAATATCTGTATATAATAGTTCTAATGCTTGTAAGAAGAACTTGTTTTGATAAATGTAATTTCAGTAGCAACTTTTGGTGACAGGACTTTATATTTATTTCTTACTCTTCTGTTAATCTTTTGCCTTCAAATACATATTTCATTCCGAGTCTGCCATGTTTTTCATTACAATGCAATAACTGAACATCTCAAAACTGATTTTATCAAGTCTGTTTTAATCAACATTAGAAAAACCTAATGCTGTGAAGTTTTCTGTGATATGTTCGTATATATTTTTGGTGTATTCACTTACTTTTAGTTTTTACCTTGCTCTTATATACAAAAATATTTCAGAAGCATATCCAATAATGTCAGAACAGATACATATATTTTATACATACATTAATATATGTCAGTGTTCGTCACACACCCCTTCAGATGTCTTTTTCAGTGAAACTGAATCCTTTGAACCAACTATGTTGCAGACTTTTAAATTGCAATATGTTAGATTATGTAAAAACATTTTAAAAAGAATTTAGCTACATGGGATAAAGAAAAGAGAAATGGAATGAATGTATTTTAGGGACATGGGAGTGTAAATGCATATCTAGCATCACAGTTCAATAACATCACAGTTCAATAACATCTCTTACATTTATCTTTGTAACACATGTTCCAAAACAACCCTTTCTTAGAGGTGCTGCTGCAAACATTCAGCATTGTTGTAGACTTTGCAAATAATAGAGTTTATTACCTCTCCTCTAATAGATGGTTTGTGCTTAATTACTGTCCTTTTCAAAGCTCTTTGTTTGCTCAGTCTAATAGTAAAGGAGAAAATCGTGGGTTTTTTTCAGTAACCTCTCTCCTCATGTGTATGGTTTTTTGAAGGGGTTTTTTTACTGTAGCTTTCCCAGTCACTGGTCACATTTCTCAGAATGATTTTTGGACATTTCCACTCAATGTCAAGATCAAAATGCTTAAAAGCTCTCTGGTTTTTATGGGTTGGCTGTTCTCCATTTTCTAAAACTCAAGCCTTTTTAGGACAGCTTGGAAGTAGCACCCAATGCCAGGATCCCTCAAAATCACTTCTGATAATCTTAGTCCAGGTCTACCATGCTCTGCTGACTGAAGGACTGGCTGCTGAACAAGCAGTGAGTCCCACTAGTGATGCTGAACCTGATGCTTTGGGGATGAAATGTGCACCATGAGCTGACCTGCTCATATTGACTGGAACACTAAAGAGCTCTTCCTTTGATATCCCTGAATAAGTTTATTCTCACAAAGACACAAGCACTGATGTACCTTCCATCTCTTTTCCCTTTCCATACCACAGCAGCAACTGTTCTCAGGGTGCAGGATTTTATTCTAATTCTTAATTTTCATATATTTTTCTTCATATTTTGAGTGATTTGGGTAAAGGTTTTCGTGCTTTCTGCTGACCACATCTGTATTACTATCAAAATTCGCAGTGTGCTGAGCCTTTACAAAGAAGCATTGGAAATGAAGGTCATTGCAAAATTTGTAACCATACAAGTTAATTTGCAAGCTCCTAGTGTGGATTTAAAAGTTCAAGCCCCTTGAAGCTGCAATTTCATCTTTAGGTAATTCTATCAAGGGAAGATTTATAACCTCCATCTCTCAGGCCTGGTCACCATATGTTGTTGCTTCAAAGAATGTTGACTTCCCTATTTTCCTCTTCATTTACTCTCCCTGCATTTTTCTCCTCTGTGGTAAAACAATTGGTCTATCCAAAAAGAAAAAAGAACATGCAGTGTGGTGAGTTCTTCCCCATTTCATCTCTCCATTATTTAGTTTCTAGAAACTCTGGAAAGAGGAGAAAATAAACTGAATTTCTTCTTGGTTCATCTTTTAATTTGTCCAAATGCTACACCCTTTTTCTGTGAGTGGTTTTGTGGTGCTGATGAGCTCTAACACAGCCTGGTTGTGTCCCAGCAGACAGTGCTGTGTAAAATCCTATGACAGAAAGATTTTTGAAATACAGACTCTATTTTGGGGATTTGGATTTTTGAAATACGCTGCATTGAATGAACTAACCTCACATTGCTGCTTAGATAGGTCAGTTTATTGGTTCTGGCCATTCCTTTCATGCTGAGCAGCAGGATCCTGGTTTTCTATGGGATTGTTTCTATAGTAAAAATATAGTTTCCGGTTTAGCAAGCCAGCAATTCCTTCTCAGAGAAAATGTTCAATAAATAAATGTCAAAGTTTCCAGTATATCCTCGTTACTCTGCCTCACTCGTTCGTAATTGAAAATGGGAAGAAGGTGCTGTTTGACTTGGCAGTTATCCAGCTCTTTTTTTTTTTTGAATAGCCCACTCTTTGGGACAAAGCTGTACACAAGGGAACAGGATTATTGCCTTATAAAATCCTGCAGCCCACTGACTATTCCTTAATTGCATATTAAAGCAATTAATAAAATTACCTGTATGAAACCAGATTACCAGATTTATTTTGGGTATTCTGCATTCATGTGGGACATTGTTACTGGCCAGTATGGGAGAGAAGAAACTCTGATTTGTCTATAATGCATATTGTCAGTACCTCCCTGTAATCAGCTTTCTGTAATCATTTTTCGTGTCAAACATTGAGCTAGAATTGAGAGTCTTCATGATTACAAGATTTTTCAGGTACAAATTGACTTTTAAGAGAGGTTTAGTCTTTTCTTTGTTAGTTTTAGTTGTTGTGCAAGTTGCTGGTATACTCTGCAAAAGGACAGGAAAAAGCATTTTAATTATTTTTATCAAGCAGATTGGAGGTATCTAAAAATGAGCTGGATTCTATAGAAAGAAGTGTTAGGTAATTATCTAATGTGGATTAGCTGAATTATTTAGCAGCAGTAGCAGTTGAGCAGGTGAAGTACCCCTTGGGGATTGAAGTTACGGTGATGCAGGGGACATGATTCACTTGCAACTCCACTAAAGGAGCTCAGAAGAGTTTTGTTTGTGCACTGCGGGGTTTTGCTTAATTTAATGGACATCTCCTCTCAGTTGTCTTGGGATGTTGTTGGGTGGTAAAGCATAAAATCAAATAACCAACCCCACAGATAACACAGGTTTTATAAAGATCAGCCAGGAAGAACATCTGATACACAACTTATTCGCCTTTTAACAATTAAAATGTTACAGACTGTTATGAATGTAAAGAAGTTCCTCAGCACTACAGTTACTCCACAACCTTGGTAATGGACCAACTGGCAATGGGGAATAGACAGCATTTCATAAGAACACCCATAAATAGTATTGGGACATATTCAACACTTCTGCTGACAGAACTGGAGAGGATTAGGCCTTTTCCATTTCTGAATCAGGCAGTTTCTGGCGTAATTTTGTTCCATTTATTTCAGTGGATGTACTTCAGTTGATGATCTGATCCTCTATTCCTCTTCCAAAGCATTACCTGTCAGGTCATGGCTTGAAATTAATACAAGCCTCTTGTTGATTTCCATATTTTCAAAAGGAAGAACCGAGTAAAAGATCAGGGAGGGGATAGTTTTTTCCTTAGAAATGGTAATAACATGGGAAATCAAAAGAGGAAGTAAAATGACTTCTCCCTGTTGAGTTAGGGAATGTTGCCTTCCCTCATCTCATTAAAAATTTAAAGCACTCTTGTTTTTGAGCCGGGTGAATTAGTAATTAAGTGCTGTAATCAACTTGTGTAAACATAATATTGAAGGAGAACAGCAAATTAATCATTTCGTTGGCTTGCCTTCCCCAATTAATGCACCTTTTAGTAAAGGCCTTCCTGCCATGTTGGGATGGGTTTTTTTCTCCTGTTCCCTTAATCAGAAGAGTTATGAAAGGCAGAGGAAGGAGATGGTTGTTCTTAGGAACCATGGTGTACACGAGGAGTGTCCTAAGTTGCTGTGATCTTCCCTTGCTTTTCTTCAAAAACTCCAAATCTGAGCATGTAGAGTTTGAGCCCAAGGTTTAGTGAAGATAAAAGTGGAGTGATTT